GTAAAAAAAGCACAGCTGTGGAAGTTCCTAGGCTGCACCAGTTTCTGACTTGGCATTCCTAGCTCAGCTCATTTCCATGTGATGCTTTTTTGGCTGGTCCAATGAGTTGTCTTGAGAACTCCACATGTGAGGTGTGTTGGCAACCACCTAAACTCTGCAAAGGTCAAGTCTTTACAGTTCTTAAAACCTTCAATCGGTGACTACCTCAGTTCTCGGAGCATTGAAAATCAATGCTCATTCATTATCGTCCTTTTTTTTCAGCATCTTCCCCACTTAATTGCCTATGTTCTGTTGGGCTAAAAGCCTCAAATCTAATCACACCAGCGGAAACAAAATCAAACAATAAATCAAACACACAAGAGACAACAATTTAATGTGGTTCGGTCCAATCAACCTATGTCCACGGATGAGAAACAAGATCCACTAGTTGTAGAAAATTACAAACATACATCAAATCATCAACCTCACTCAACAATCAATACTCATAAGACATTCTCAATCTTCTCTAGTCCTATAAAGTATTTTCAACCCAAACAAATACAAACTCAAACCCTTGTGCACCCTTTCAATATAACCAAACACATACCCATATGCTCCCATACATCATACTTTTGTGGACCCCCTCAGTCTCTTCTAGTCTACTCATAAACAAACATACACACCCATAAGACGTAAAGCCCCAATACTCTTATGGGGTGTCTATCCCATAAAACTCTACAACTCTCTTATATTTTTTTCTCATACCTAACCCTGTAGAGACTTCACCTATTTATAACCATACAAACTTGTCCATTAAGAATCCTTTTGCTCTTAAAATTCTTCTCCTGTAAGTCAAACTTGCCTATTAAGAATACCTTTCCCCTTAGAATTCTTCTCTTACAAGTCAAACTTACCTATTAAAAATCCTCTTTATTTTAAAATTCTTCTTTTGCAAGTCTTCTTGTCCATCAAGCAATATCTAACAAATCTCAAACAAATCTCTTATGAGATTTGAGTCAATATTCCCAACATGTTCTCCTCTTTTCTACAGTCAAAAAGTCTTTCAAAGACATCCTAAAGTAATAAACACGGCTGTGAAGAAATCTGACAGAATTGGAAAATAAGAATTGACAATTTGGTTCTTCCTTTTCATGGGTCACTGGTATTAAATGTGGAAACTTTTGTTTCCTAAAGTCATTCAATGAGAAAGGAAGACAATTTAAAGCCAGCTCTGAAAATTCAACCCAAAAATTACTCCAAAACCGTGACTTTTGGCAGCACAGGTTTTTCCATGCAGCTTATTCATGCACCAAGAAATTGCACTTGGCTTGGACATTCTAAGAACATGGCTTTGAATTGGCTTGTGGATTTGGCAGCTTCTCCACCTCTTCAAGGTTTCTTCAAGGTCTGGAATTTCATCCTTTTCCTTCCCATGCAGCTCATGCACAGCTAGCTAGCTCAAACACAACCAAAATGTGCAACTTTTGAAACCAAATAAAATGCACACTACCAGTCCTATAAAACCGTGACTACCTTGGGTGTTTGATCCAGTTTTTGCTTCAAAGTTTAACCTATAAAATGAGCATTTAAATGTTATCCAATTTGGCTTAATTTTAGCTACAATTCAGCTCATTTGACAACCCTAAAAACAGCCCACAAGTGACGCCACTGCTGCTTTGTTTAGCTTGAATTTCCAGCCAACTTTTGCACCATGTTTGCTTCCAAATTTAACTCATCAAATCAGCCACTTAAACTTGAAATTAATATTTCAAATGCAGCTCCAATTTAGCTCAAAACAGCCATGAACTCAAGTCAAATATCATTGCAAATAGCCTTGCAAATCGGTCTTCAATTCCATCCAATTTTGACCCTACTTGTTGCCTTGTTTTCTTCAAGTCTTTGATAGCATCTTACATCCCATTTGGCTTCTACATTTAGCTCTTTGATTCAGTCACTTCACCTTGAATTTACCCCTTCAGTTGTTTTTTTCAATTTAATTTTCTCAATCTTTCATTTTACTTACATTTAGGACAACTAACACATTTAGATAGAAAATGAATTAATTCAAACAAAAATCAAGTATAGAAGTATTATGATTTAACATAAAACCCTATCATCATTCTATAAAAAAAATAAAATTATCACTTACCTTCTTTTCTCTTGCCTTTTCTTTTTCTTTTTACAATTTTTTATAAATATTTCCAAAGATTTTAAATTTCTTTTTGTATGGGATCCACTTGATTCAAAGAGTATGCAACGTATTTGCTTTTTTTTTTCTTTTTTTAATTATTATTTTTATAAATTTAATAAATATTTTAAAGATTTTAAATTTTTTTGTGTAACTCAAAGTATGTCATATGTTAAGTCATTTGCTTCATTTTTTATTTTTTATTTACTTGTTTCCCGTTTTAATATTAGATGAATATTTTTTATTATTATAAAATTTTTTTAGTGATACCCATTTAGTATTATTGATTAAAAAGTTTTTTTTCTTTTTTATTATCGATTTAATTTTATGATATATATGTATTATATTAATTAAGTTATTATTTTATAACTTAATTTAAATATTAATATTTTAAACTCGATTTGGATGTTCATATAACAACAATTTAAAAATTAACATTTTAAACTCAATTTGGATGTTCATATAACAAGGATGATCTCTTTTTTCACTTTTTTTTTTCAATTTTCTTTGCTTTTTTTTTCTTTTTTCTCCTTTTTTTATTTTTAATTAATGAAGTTTTTATTTAATGCCGTAATTTAATATATAATATTTTAAGCTCAATTAGATGTCATGTTGTTCCCTATGGGCTCAATTTTTGTTTTTTTTTATGAACTTTTTTAAGTTAAATTAATTTTGAGAAAAAAGTAAACGCAATGGAAATCCTCATGTGCACTCTCAATTGCTTTTTATCTTTCTTATTTTTTTAATTATATAAATTTTAAAACAAAGTGCCAATGAAAAATTTTAATAATTTATTATTTTAAAAAGCAAAACTGAGTTGGAAAAGGGTAGAGAATTTAAAAAAAAAAAAATAAAACAATATCGAGACAGAATCTATTAGAATACTTTGTCCCAAACTCATTTTTTTCATATATATAATATATACAATTATTTAGATTTATTATATACATATTTCATTAACAAAATTAATAATTTGATCTCTTAATTTTAGAAATTAATATTTAAATTCATGGAGTGTTCCAGTACCACTCTCTAAATTTTTTAATTTTTTGTTTTTTGCTTTTTTTTTTTTTATCTTTTTATATATTTTTTTGGTTTTTATTTTTTTAATTAGATAAATTTTGTGAGAAAAATGAGGTTAATTGAAATATCCACATGTTTTTACTCCGTTAGTTTTTTTTTATCTTTCATTTTTTATTTTTTTAATTAAGTAAATTTTATAATAAAAAAATAATAAATAAAATAAACAAAAAAAATGACCCGCAGCATTGCTGGTATTATGCTAGTATTCATTAAAAATTTCAAATTATCTGTTAACTATTATATTGGTATAAAAATATTATTATAAATATAATTCTAAGAAGCAGCAATGGCGTGATCAAAGATCTAAAAGGAGATAAGAGTTGAAGTCAAAAGTAATCATAAAGTGAAAAAAGAAAATGTAAAAGAGAAAGACAAATGATAAATGTATGAAGCAAGACTAGTTGCGTGTCAAGCACTTCTGTAATAATTGTACCATCCCTTGTCTGCTGCTTCTTCATTTGATTTTTTTTTTTTAAAGGGATCAAAGGAAATTGTGGGGAAATGGGGATGCATTGGTTTGAAAGTGCGTTCAAAACGGGTCAAGCACTTCTGTAATAATTGTACCATCCCTTGTCTGTTTTCCATTGACACAAAAAAAATTATATTAAAAAGGGTAGATTTGAACCTAATTATCCCTTTTTGCCAAGCATATAGGATTTTTATTAAAACAGATAGATTCTATAATCAAATCTAAAAAATTAAAAAAACAAGTATAATAAATCTTCAAAAAATTCAAGATACGACATATGCTTATTTTGATAAGCAAACCCCCAACTTTTAGACTCGATTTAATAAAAATTCTCCATCATCAGGTTGATAGGTTTGCATACCTAGACACTGGGGCACTAACCATATGTGAAGATGAAACGGTCATCTATTAATCACAGAAAAACTTTTTTACATTTGCATCAAGGTTTCAATGAAATAAAGATTGTAATTTTTATTATAGTAAAGTTTAAGTTAATTTTATTCATAACAATTATTTTGAAAAAGACTTCAATGTTAATAAAAAATAGATAGATAAAAATTATTTAATATGTATTTTAATAAAAAAATCTCAATGAAAAAAAGTTTACTTTAATTAAGACTTCAAAATTGGTATGACAATTTAAAAAAAATTAGCCAATATTTTTTGTTTTTCCTTTTTTTTTTCATTTTTATCCTTTTATATTTTCTAATTTTTTTTGTTTTTATTTTTTTAATTAGATAAATTTTGTGAGAAAAATGTGGTCAATTGAAATATCGACATGGTTTTAATCCATTAGTTTTTTTTTATCTTTCATTTTTTATTTTTTTAATTAAGTAAATTTTATAATAAAAAAATAATAAATAAAAAGAACAAAAAAATGACCCGCAGCATTGCTGGTATTATGCTAGTATTTATTAAAATTTTCAAATTATCTGTTAACTATTATATTGGTATAAAAATATTATTATAAATATAATATATTAACTTTAAAGTTTAAAGAATACCGTAAGGACACTTTCGTAAAAAAAAGAAAAAAATGAAATTAGAGAAAAAAGTGACAACTGGAAGCAGGCTAGAATCCGTAGGCAAACCAAATTCAACGAAATTTACAGAAACTTTGGGTTCCTCGGGGCCTATATATGTAACAAAGCTAAAAGCATTTCCAAAGGCATAGAGCATAGATAAAGTAATTAACAGTTATATCAATTGAGTTAAGCTGATCTGAGCTGGGCTGAGTTTATTAAGATAATTATGGGGCCAAATTGGTTATTATGGGTAATGATGACCGCGTTGGTTTTAGAAACAGGCTCGAGTTATGGGTGTTTGGAGCAAGAGAGACTTGCACTCCAACATCTCGAACCTTTCTTCTATCATCTTCGTTATGGATCCAACTTAAGGGGGGAAGAGGTTTTAGACTGTTGTCGACGGAAGGCGGTTAAGTGCGACATCACTACTAGACGAGTGACTACACTCTTTCTAGGTTTTGGAGCCCCAAACAGGTACTACTCGAACGAGAAATTGTATCTCAATGCCTCTCTGTTTCTTCCTTTCGAAGAATTGAGGAATCTTCATCTCCAGGGGAATGAAATAGCTGGTTGTGTTGAGAATGAAGGTTATTTCGTTGCATTTCATCTTCTTAATTGTTCCATAAATAAATAAATAAATATTGGCTTGCCCCCTTCTATTATCCTAGCCTAGGTGGCTTTGAAAGAGTCACTACTCACTAACTTTTTTCGTGCATATGCATTTAAAAATTCTTTCTCTTCTCTTCTCTTGCAGGTTTTGGAAAGCTATCCAAGTTGAAACATCTAGAGTTCCTTGACTTGAGTTTGAATGCCTTCAATGATAGCACTCTATCATCTTTGAGTAAAATTTCCAGTCTCAAGTCTCTAATTTTAGTAGGAAATTATTATCTTGAAGGATCAAACCATACTAATGGTAAAGTTAGAACATCATGTCTAATTCAATTGTAATCATCATATAACGATAAATAATTATACATTCACTGAAACTCTTTTGTTACTTGTAGCAGAATTTAAGTGGCTTTCAACTATGAGTGGTTTGGAAACCCTGGATTTAAGTTCTAATAATTTGATGAATAGCTTCTTGTTACACTTGGACGGTCTTTCATCTTTAAGAACTTTAATTCTTCAGAATAATACATTTCAAGGAATGGCTCTGATTCCAAGTAAGATTCTCTTGTCATATTATTGCTCATTCATTTTTTTTTTTAGTAATTCATTTTTAGTAACTCTACAATAATTTTTTGATATTTTTTTATATATCCTTATTTCAAAAAAAGTTTTTTTCCAAAATTCAAAGGAATATTATCCAAGTTCACTTGTAAGATATCATAATTAAATAAATTCATTGTACAAGCCCTAATAAAATATGTCACATCACTTCAAAGAATTTAAAAAAAAAAACTTCAAATTATCAAATAAGCGATCAAATTAAAAAAAAATGTTAAAAAGTGCTTATTTAATTTTTTGCACTGAATGAATTTATATTTCATTTCGGTATTTACGCTAAATGAATTTATATTTCATATTGAGAAGAAATCTCTTCAATAACAGTATTTTGGCAGGCCTTTCAAATCTAAAGATTTGAATTTAAGACAAAATCAACTGAAGGGATCAATAGATATCAAAGGTAAAACTAAAATCTATAACTTTAAAGCAATTATTAATTAAATAAGTAGTCTCTAACGTAGTTTGATATGTGAAATCTATCCAGAACTTTGCCCTTTGAGCAATTTAGAGACTCTGGACATGAGTTACAATGAGGTGACTCAATTTGTGACTTCTAAAGGTATGGATTAAAATAAATTTTTAATTTTTTATGTCATTAAGTAGTCACAAATATTGGTCAACGATTTTAACGACATCAAAACAAAGCTTTTCCAATATTGATTTCTACTAATATTATTACACTTTTACAACTAAGGATGGTTATTTTGGAATAATGACTATTTGGGTTTTTTGGATTCAAATGTTTTAATTTTTCGTTATTTTAATTTGGATAATTTTGAGTTCAAATTATTTCATCTTCAACTCATTCGATGCTCATATCAAGGGTCAACTCATTTCAAGATTAAGTTAATGACTTTTAAATTCATATCAAGTTGAATTTAGATGAATCATTCAAGTGAGGGTGATTAAGTTCAACTTGTTTATTGATGATTTATTGTAAATGATTAATTGATTGTACTATTAGTTTCATCAAATTCACTAATTATATCCACTAAGCCACTATGGTATATATTTACACCAAACTATGCAGTCGAACTACAACTAAATATATATTGTTCACTACTTTTCCTTGCAGAAAATAGATGCTTGAGGAAGCTAAAAAATCTCTATCTAGACGGTGTCTCCAACAAACAAAGCATTTCTCTTGCGTCAATCCTAGAGGCATTTTCATCTGTAAAGACCCTCTTTTTAAGAGATAACTCTAATTTAAACAAAACGCTCGTTACTCAAGGTTAGTTATGGTTGTGATTTTAAACAAAAATGTTAAATCAATTTATGTTCACTTTAAATGTTATTTCTTATCCTACATATACCAAATACATCCATACCATCTATACCTCCATCAATCATACTTACTATATAGACTTCTTGTTCTAATAGAGTGAGTATTTTTTCCCTTTTGGATGTCAATTGTACACCAGAGTTGCATATGTTGAGAAATGTGGAGCACCTATTCATGGATAATACACCTTTGGACATCAACTTTTTGCAAAGCATTGGCAACTTGACTTCTCTCAAAACCTTGTCTTTGTATAACTGCAGTGTGGCTGGCACTTTGCCTACTAAAGGTAATAGAATTACATTTTAAGCATCGGCTCCTTCATTTTTTTACATCTGTTTTTTAATAACTACTATCTCTATGTTTTTCTGTATTTAATATTAATTTTCTTTTTTTTTTCTTTTCTTTTTTTTTTTGTTAAGCCAAAGTTTATTAAAGTAACCATGAGGCTACAAAACTAGCCAAGACTAAGAAAAAGAAAATCCAAAGTACCAATACATACCAATTTGAGAATCTAAAATCACCTTAATGATATCAAAGAAAAACACTCTACTAGCTAGCAGGAACAGACAAGAGCAACCAAAATTACAAACAAGAATCTCGGCCACCTATTAAAAAACTCACCACACTTTAGTTTTGCATGGTAATATAAACAACTAACTGTAGAAAGCAAGAAAAACGGTGTAAAAGCAACAGTCAGTTAATGATAAATTTAACCACACCAGGAAAAGAAACATCTTATGACAACTACCAAACACTAACTGTTAACATTATCATTTAAGTCCCTTCGTTCCATTTCCATCAACTTACCAATAATAATTTCTTCATCACGTTCAAATGATAACGCGAGACGTTTCCCAAGATCCCAAGTTTTGATAACTTCTCTATGCAAAGAATTTACCTTTAGATTTCTTTATTTGAAATGCTATTATCTTTTTCAAGAATCATAGGAGAACCTAAGTACAAACTGGAATATTTGAAACCTTCTTCTTACTCCATTTTTTGTTTTTTGTTTTTAATTTTGTGACATTTCAGATTTTTCCTAGCTAAGTAATCAAAATGATCTTCAATATCTTCACAATTAACAACACACTCCTCATTTTCCTTTTTTTAAGTCACACTCTTCATATTGGATAGATTCTTTGTCTTTTTCCAGTGACTTTTTGTCCCTGACTACTCCCTCATCATTCCTATACTCAACCACTTCTACACAACTACCAATGCTATTAGACTATCTATTGTAGTTCTTTCTTCCTTGTTCACCATAGGATCAAGGCTCCAATTAGTTTCTTAGACTTGATTTGTATTAGGAATATTTGAAGACTCCCCACTACTAAAGGATTACTTAACATTATTCGAAGGATGAGCTTGTACTGGTTCATCTCCTAACTCCTTGGACTGAACATGGTTAGGTACCTCTACTATTTTGGTGAGGTTTTTTATTTTTCAAAAATTGTTTTAAAATTATTAAACCTTCCAATGTTGGTAAGATTATTTTTCATTTTTTAAAATTATTTTTCTTAAAATTTTTTATATTTTTAAATAAATAAAATAAAAATATAACTTAAAATTTTTGGCTTGGTTTGAAATGACTTGGCTCATGACTAGTGTAGCAACTTAGTTCTGCTCAGTGGCTTGACTTAGCAGTGTCTCAATAGGTGATGGATCTGGGGTCACACGCTATGGGCCAGGTTGGATCAGATTGATGCTTGGGAAATTAGGAATAGTCGTCAAAATTTGGAGGTTTCGTCGGAATAAGGAACTTCAATGCTTACTAGAAATGTCATGTCTAAAAATCTTGTCAGAGGTTGGAATCTTATAAAAAAATCATTAGGAATTGAAAAAAAGCCTAAAATTTGAACTTGAACTATAACTTTTTTCTCTTAAATTCTCCTTTGTAATTGTTGTGTGTTGATTGTGTAAACTTGTAGGGTATTTATAGGAGCCTAGTCCTAACTTGACAAGAATTCTTTTTTGATTAGAGATTAAACTTCTTTATTATCTAAGAACAAAAACTTTGAATTAATCTCTAAAAGAACCAATCAAAACCTTTTAAAAGTTCACATGAATTATCAACCAAAAAATATTTTCCAACAAACATTTTGATTTTTGTCTTTTTTATAAAGAAACAATAAAAATGAGATAAAAATCAAGATAAATAGATAAATAAGTAAGATAAAAATAAATATAAAATAAAAATAATGATAGATACAATTATAAAGGTAAAAAAACAAATAAAAATAAAAATATAATATAATATAAAATTAGACATTTGGGTTTTAAACATACTGAGTCCAATTAATTTAGATCTCGGACTAAATAGAAAATTTACAAACTAGTCAAAGAGACTTTAATATGATTATAAGAAAAACCAAAAGAAACAGAAACTGAACTCTTTATTAAGCTAAAATCACCCTTTTTCTCTATTTTAAACTCCGACAAGCTCTTTTTATGGATTATAGAGGCATCTTCATCTTTTTGCAACACACCTTTAACCATTTCTGCATATGATTTGCAATTATTTAAAGGGACCTCAGACCTACTGCTAAATTCTCTAAACATGTTGAACGTGGTCTATAGCACCGGATAGTGCTTTGGTTTTGAAAAATCTAAGTTTATAACTATCAATCCAGATAAATTCAAAGCCACAAGTAAACCCTTAATATCATTGACATTCATAAAATTGATAAATCCATATCTTTGACCTTGAATATATTTTTTAGCATGAATGTACACATTGACAATGTCTAGGGATAACAAATTTATCCAAATTTTCAGGTTTCAATGCATCTGTTTTTTAAATTGAGTTTTAGGTTGGGTCGAAGCCAAGTTTAAGGTATATATAAAGAATATATTTTTATTATTTATTTGATTATATATATTATATTAATAAAATTTTACTTAATATTTTAATTTAAAATATTAACTTAATAAAAATATTATATTATCATAATTAAGATATAATTTATTAGTAACAAATAATATTTTATTAATATTATACAAAAATTAAAATTATTAAATTAATTTCAAATCAAGTCGATTATAATTTATACATATATGGATTAGGTTGGGTAGAAAATAATGTTTTAATTTCAGATCGGTCTAAGTTGGGTGTAAATTTCATAAGGCCGGATTGGAGTCAAGGTAAGCAAAAACCTACCTAGACCTATTCCGTTGCCATCCCTAACAATGTCACACATAAATTTTCTTTTCTATCTTTCTTAAGCTTACAACAACTTTTTTACTATTTTATCTATAAACTATATATATATATATATATATATATATTTGTGTGTGTGAAATTGTATCTTAATAAAAAAAAAAAACAAAATTAAATTTGAATCCCCTCTTTATATATTTTTTTCAGGTTGGTGCCACCTAAAAGGTCTCGAAGAATTGAGTCTCAATGGAAATGGTCTACAGGGTGCAATTCCTTCATGCTTGGGTAACTTGACATTTCTTCGCTATTTCGATATCTCTAACAATCAGTTCACAGGAAATGTTGCCTCCACTGCTCTCACAAATCTCACAACGCTTAAATTCCTCTCCCTTTCAAATAATCAATTTCAAGTCCCAGTGTCATTCGAATCATTCGCAAACCACTTAAATCTTCAAATCCTTCTCAGCGATGGGAACAAGTTAGTCGTAGAACCAACATTTTTCCAAACTTGGTCCCCAAAATTTCAACTTAGGGTCTTGAGTTTGTCAAATTGCACAATAGAAGAACATGGGAATCCACAACTTCCTAACTTCCTCTATTACCAATATGACTTGAGATATGTTGATCTTTCATATAACAATTTTGGCGGAATAAGGTTCCCAGATTGGTTGGTAAAGAATAATACAAGACTAGAAGAACTTTACATGATGGATAGTTCTATTGAGGGTCATCTTTTCTTACCATCACACCCTAATTATAACATGACGGTACTTAAAGTATCAAATAATAAACTGCAACATCAAATTCCAACCAATTTTTGCTCAGTTTTTCCAAATTTACAAGTGTTAATCATATCGCGAAATGCCTTCAAAAGTAATATTCCTCCTTGTTTGGGCGATATGAGGCAATTAACAATTTTGGACATATCCCACAATCAATTTTTTGGAGGAATACCTGAAGAGTTGGCCATGAGTTGCTCTTTAAGGTTCCTTAGACTTTCAAACAACAACTTGAGTGGCAAAATGTTTCCTGCAATATATTGCTCACCTGAGCTGAGAGGATTCTATTTGGATGGCAACAACTTTGATGGTGAGATGCCTCATTTTTCACCCTTCAGCTCTTCAGTGCTTCAAGCTTTATATTTAAGTGACAACCATTTTTCTGGGAAGCTGCCAATATGGTTGTGGAATTATACAAGTTTGTTGATACTTTCTTTGGCCAACAACCAATTCGAGGGTCCCATTCCCATTGAATTATGCAAACTGGTGAATCTTTATTTCTTGGATCTTTCTCAAAATCTTCTGTCTGGTACAATACCATCTTGCTCCAATTTACAGGATATAAAGCATGTACACTTGAGCAGGAATAAACTAAGTGGACCACTGTCACTTGCCTTTTATGGAAGCTCTTCATTAGTGACATTAGATCTGAGAGAAAACAACATCACTGGAAAAATTCCTGATTGGATCGACACACTACCGGCTCTGAGTGTCCTTCTGATGAAAGCAAATCAGTTCCATGGTGAAATTCCTGTGCAATTGTGCAAATTGCACTCATTAACCATCGTGGACCTTTCTCAGAATAAACTTTCTGGTCCTATACCTTCTTGTTTGAGTAATTTAACTCTTCAGCCAAGGGGTGAAAAATCTGATACAAGCATTCTCTCTTTTATGTTTACTATCGTTGAAGGAGTATTCGCAGAGATGGGGCAGAAAATATATGATCTCATAACGGATAAATGGAAGTATTTTGCAAACGAATTTCCTACATCACGTTTGCTTCCTTTGAACTATGCAGAAGTGATAGAGTTTTCAACAAAGAGAGCATCATACAATTACACAGGTAACATTCTTGACAGCTTGTCAGGAATTGATCTCTCTTGCAACCAATTGACAGGCATAATCCCACCTGAATTGGGAAATTTCATTGAAATCCGAGGAGTAAATTTGTCGCACAACAATTTAACTGGACCCATCCCCTCCACGTTCTCAAAACTCAAGCAGATTGAGAGTTTGGATCTTTCCTACAACAACTTAAACAGCAGAATCCCCCCTGAACTGACTGAGTTGTACTTTCTGGAGGTATTCACTGTTGCACACAACAACTTGTCTGGGCCTCTCCCAGACAGGAAATTTCAGTTTGGGACATTCGACGAGAGCAGCTACGATGGAAACCCTCTTCTTTGTGGACCTCCATTGAAAAACAGTTGTGGTGAAGGTGATTCACCAGAAACTCGAACTGCTTCACCTGGTGAAGATGAAGAAGATGGTTTTATAGACATGGTTGATTTCTACAGTAGCTTTGGGGTTTCCTATGCGGTTATATTGCTGGCAACTGGCATTGTACTCTACATAAATCCATACTGGAGACGGGCATGGTTTTATTTCATTGAAGAGCGGAGCACCGCTTGTTATTTCTTCATTGTGGACAATCTTCGTAGGTTGCCCTGCTTCAGAAGAAACATATAGCCCTGTGTATCTTCCATGATTCTAGAGCACTTCAAGTTCAAGGTTAGAATTTACCTCCTCTTGCTTCTTCTTCTTCTTCTTCTTCTTCTTCTTCTTCTTGTGCCCCGAAAGTTTTAGGTTCAGACATTCTGTATGATAGGAGTGTGTCATCTCATGTTGGCATTGTCTTTGAATTTTGAAAACTGATGCTTGGTAAAATAATTGTCTCATTTTAAAATGCCCTTCGTATTTATTTATTTTGCATAAGTTTGGTTGTATCTGTGAATTTGTTTACAGCTTGAAGTCGGACTTTTTCAAATTGTGAAAATGGGGCTGGAATCAGATAGTGTTTATTAGCATCCTTTTGGTTGTGTCTGCAGACTGCAGGTAATAACATTAGGCATACACATAAACAAGCAACATGATTAACTTACAAATAAAACACAGAGATCCAAAGGATTTTGTTTGAGGTATTCAAAACTGCTCTTTCTTTATTCATATTCAGTTATGAAAATGTAAATGCAATTTCAAGGAAAACGTAAGTGAGAAGCCCACAGCAATACCTCTTTCTAACAAGGAAAACAGATCCACCATCTCATCAACACAGGATTGCTCTTTCTTTGGTCATTTTCAGTTATAGTTGTTATTAAATTCTGAGTCTCAGTCCTCGCCCTTTTAATTTTCGGCTTAATTTTTAGCCACTCGTCTACCCCAAGCTGTCCACACAGTATGGGGAATTTAGACCAAGTTGATTACTGGTAAAATTAAGAAATGGGTGATGTTAATATAAAAGCTTAAGCTTTTATTTCTGGTAATAGCTGCCCGCCTACTATTATTCCTAGGAGTTTTAATTCATCTGGATGATCGGAATTGGAAGATCTCACAACACTCCTACGTCCAAATTAACAACTGACACCAACGGTCAAAATATTGTTAATAACACCAACACTTGCGTCTTGTTAGTTGCTTGTTACAAGCCATTGACCTGTAACTATTATGGAATCTGGTCATACCATACCATATATGATTTGATGATCAAGTTGCTAACTTCTAAAAATTTTAAAGCCTTTATATGCTTTGTCGATTAGTTTATCAAATAAAAAAATAATTAATATTTAATCTTCCTCATTTCTATTCACAATATAAAAGTGTTATTGCTATTGCAAATTTTGAGTTGCCTGAACAAAGAGAAAGAACTGAAACATTTAATCAATTAAGCAATTTTTAAACTTTAATTCAAACCAAGAATTGTTATGTCCAATAAAAGTTTTTTACTTTCTCGACTTTCCTAATATTCCTAACCATCAACTCAAACCTTAAGATAGGTGTTTTGATCATACTTCCTAGAAATGTGAACCAATGTTCTAGCTTATATAACAGAAGTATATGATTGATGGTACAATTAGCTTTGAACATTAAAGAAGGAAAAATCATTTCACGCCTCAAACTTAAAGATTTAGAACCTAATAATGCAGCATATTCGTGAGATGAATCTCACAAGCATTTAAGGCAGCAAATATCAAACTAAATCAAAATATCCAATAATCTCCAAAATAATACTTTACAAAATCTCAAATCTATAAAATTATATTCTTTGCAAGTTAGTTGAATAAACTAAAGTTCTTGCTAACAAATCTTTTAGAATCAATAATAAAATACTTACTTCAAAAGCAATACCAAACTAAAGACAGATGTTAATCTTGCTCATCCAAGTAGTTGTCAACATTAAGTCTCCCAAACACAAACACCGAAATCTAAAAAAGTAAAGAAAAATAAAAGAATGAGTACAACAACTCAACGAGTAACTGGCATCCCCTCAGTTGGATTAAGCATGCCACAAAACATTTAGGCCAAAACATGAACTAAATGATTTAAAAATATTTTGGGTAATCTTGTATTCACAAACATATTCTTAAAACCAAATTCTTAGCTCACAAAACGAAATCAAATATCACAAAATTATAAATTTACTTAGTCTCTCATAACATACTATGACCACACTTAACCCTTTGGCATAAGTTAGAATCAAATTTCTCTTCTAGTGCAATGGGATAGAAATATATCAAAAGTAGCTAGATCATTGCACTGACAATCATAATTAACCAGTTACTACAATGGGGCAGAATAAAAATCACAATAATCCCTTTAGTAAAATGAGATAGAAGTATATCACCGATGGTACAGTGAATAAAAATTACTATTATCAACTGGTGGCATGGTTCGAAATTGGTATCAATATTAAAAAATATATGTCAACATGGCCAACAATTAACTCCCATTGGCATGGTCAAAACATAGTTATACTAGGAGACAAAAGCCAAAATATATTTTTAGATTACCCAACATATACAAATTCAATATTTATAAATTTTCTCAAAATATAATCCATAAAAAGTAAAATTTCATAATCATTCCAAAGCAAAATTTCATATTTCGACAAACAATGGATATATAAATATATTATTACGAAATCATATTCAAAAATCAAAATAATATCAAACCATATTCAAAACTCATAACAAAGAAATCATATATATATTTTGCATGCTCAACTTGATTTACAAAACAAATGGACAAAATAATATATATTATATATTTTAACTCTAAATATATTGAGGTTGAATTTTCGGGACATAAAAACCAAAAGGATATCAAGTCACTTACTTGATGCGCTAAACCGAAACTTAAGCAACAAATCACTCAATTCTCTTAATATCCTAATAATTCAAGAAATATTAAAAAAAATCAAAATTTAACCTGAAAACATAAATTTAATAAGGCAAACCTTCTTTGGGTCATCCTAAGAAAATTGGGTTGTGTGGCAACCTTTTCGATAATTCGATACTATTTGAAAATATTTTCTTTTAGCATATAAAACAAATTTTTTTTAATATAGTAAAATGCCTAGAATTGAGTATATAAATATGAAATTAAGGATTAAAACATAAAAATCAGTAGCAATATAAATTTTTACAAATATTTAATTTTTAACATTTAATAGTAATAATTTTTTTTTGTAAATCTTAATATAATTCAACGGCCCTTTAACAATACTAATAACATGAAATTAACACAATAAAAATATATTAAAATAAATAAAAATTTATTAAAAACAATATAACTAAAATTCAAATAATTTATAACTAAATATATCAAATATTAGTCGAAAATAATTTTAAAATAATTAAAAATGAGAATTTATAAATTCTAAAATTTTCACATTCTATGATCATTTGACTTATTTTGAGCCATAAAAATTTGAACATTCTATAGTTCCTAATAATAAAGGGAAGCATAATTTTAAAGTAGGAATGTAATACTACAACCTAGAATTTTGTTTCAGCAAAAATAATTTTTAAAAGCTTAAGTTTCGAAGACCAAATCTTGGTAAATTATCACAAATAAACCAGATTTTCTAGGTTTCAGATTCATAAAGCCTACTTGGAGACTTTGATTCTCTTACCCTATAAATCATCTGAACAAACTAATCTACCACTAGAAAGTTCACATTTTGTTCTATCAATAAAGAATTCTAACGGTTTAAAGTTGGACATTTGTAATTATCATAAACCCAAAAACTAAAAATTTGAAACACTAAATTCTCCTAATTTATTCTTCTAAATGAAGTGCCACACATACTATTAGAAAGGTCTTGAAGAGACCTTTCCATTGGTATCCACAATTTCATCGGATTGTCACCGAAAAGTCGCGAGAATTTTTTTTTTTGAAGTTGAAAAAATATAAAATTATGGGTTGGGATTTATAAAAAATTACATCAAACATGAAATTTTCAAGAGTTTTAAGCTAAATCTTACCTTAATCAGTGATTTCTAGATTTGATTTGCCCTATCTCTTCTTCTCTTCTTTTTCTCGAGTGTGTCTTAAAGTTTTTCCTTTTTTTTTCTCTTAGAAAAACTATAGAAGGAATACTAGCAAAGTTTTTCTTCTATTCTCTTTTTTTTTTAATGATGATACTCATGGGCTGGGTCATCAATCAGGCTATAATCACTTGGGCTTAGGTATTACAGATCATATTTGGTGATTTTGCTAACAGTAAAGTTTTATATGTAAGATAGTCCTCACCGTTAGACAAAAGAAATAGTCCTTTGTTTTTAATAAGAATTTATTTCCTATCAAGTTTTGCTATGCTATAACTATCAACAAAAGTGAATAACAGTTCCTTGATATCATTGGACTATATTTACCAAAATCTATTTTAACACATGGCCAACTTTATGTTGCTCTTTTTATAGTTACATCATGACAAGGCCTAAACATTCTGTCAATGCTATTCTTTGAGTTATTATTGTGATTTTCAAATGGTGCTTTAATGTTAAAGAAGTTGTAGATAGCTTCATATCCTATCCATGACTTTAAGTTTGCACCTTACATTATTCTTAATTATAGAATTAGTTGCAACAGGTACACCATTTAATATGCTTAGCCATAAATTCTAAACAAATTATTTTAAGGTTTTTTAGACATAATCTGCCCTTACATTTTTAATTTTGTAGATGTAATTGAAGTTGTTGCATCTATTACACCAGTATCAAAAGTTCATTTAAATTATAGAGATGATGAGGTTGACAAAAGATATATCTACATTCATGATGCAAGGTATGCAATGAGGGTAAAAGACATCTAATGTACCATGCATATATATAAACTCTAATATACATTTTTTTTATTGATTTGGTTTTCTATAGTATGCTTATCATTAGTTTTTACATTCGCTTGAATGAATATTAAACCAAATCTTGTCTAAGTAATTTTTATTTTTTCCCTACTTAACACATCAAATTTAACCTTCTACTATTAATTTTGAATATTCCTCACAAAACTCATTAAAAATATATTATAGGTACTTTATATATTGCCTATTGTCATCTACAAAAGTCTATATTGATTTAGAGATTTTAGTCACTACTCAACTAAAAATGTGCGCATATTATTATATTTTATGTTTACTACTCAAATTTACATTATATATATATATATATTTATATATTTATTTTTAAAGAATAT